TCATGCCCTTATTCTATTCAAACTGGACTGTGGGTCTATGGTTCAGCCAGGATGTCTGTCTTAAAGATGTTTGACCCGATTCACCATCTGGGGCTTTGGCTCTGCATGGGGGCTTCCGCATTTCTCTAGTCTAGAGTTTGTACACTGAGTCCCATGAACCTCCTCTTCATTTCTGCCATTTGCAACTTTCTCTATAGTATGCTACCAAGCTTCAATCCTTATCTCAGCATCCCACCTGGGATTGTATCTTTCTTCCTCAGTGGGCTGGGCTCTTTCAGAACAGACGGTCTGCAGTTCCTACCTTTGGCCTTTGTATCTAGGCACACCTGGCTGAATTGGTCTGGCATTGAATAACATTGCTGTCCCCAATGATCAACCCACTCTACCTTGGCTTATTATCATCCCGAATGTGACCTTTACTTGAGTCATCTGAGGAAGGTGGATATTCCAGATTAGAAGTACCATCTTCTCTTTGCTGAACGTCTTTCACATCATTCTTCTATTCCCATTTATACAGATGGTTTGAAATCAGGTGACTCTGTGGGCTCTGCCATAGTTTGTTGTGGCTCGATGGTTGCCTGATTACATCACTTTCTGGGCATTTGGATCTCTTTCACAGGGATCCATGGGTACTCCATGTTCTGGCTTCAGAGTCTGTCATTCAGTATACATCACTATTAACATTATCTACACAACAGATCCATGGCAAGTGGAACTTTGTTCCTAGGCCATAAGAGAGTTGTTAGTCAAAAGGACAGTAGAGAGAGTCAATCCTGTTCTTTTATTTGTTGTACCCAAGAAAACAGGAGATTGGCATCCAAGCATTGATCTGTCTTGCTCAACCACTTTTTAGATCCTCCTCTCTTTGCAATGGAATTTTTCTTCAACCTATGATGGCACTTTGCACCAAGGCTCTGGATGATCTAGTTCGGTGTTACCAATGCTTATTTCCATATTCCCAGAGTGGAACCTTCCCAGAGATTTCTCAGGTTTGTGCACAAGGATCAGGTGCTGCAGCTCAAGACTCTACCTTTTGGTTTTTTATCAGCACCTTGTGTCTTCTCCAGAGTTGTTTGAGCTTTTTCTCCTCATTTGTATTCCTTGAGCCTTTGCACACATCATTATGTAGACGACTGGCTCTTTCTGGTACCATCCCATCAATTAGCAGAACAACACTCTCAGATTCTTCTTTCAGAAGCCACAAAAGCAGGCTTCCTTATCAGACTGGAGAAATCAGTTCTGTCACCGACGCAATATCTCATCCATCTGGGTGTGTTTTTCAATACAAACTTAAGTCTTGCTCAACCAACCCCTATCAGGCTTCAAGCCATGGAAAGACCCGTTAGACTTTTACTTATGTCTCGTTCTCTCACTGAGCAGATGGTTCTCTCTCTCTTTTGGGTATGTGAGCATCCCTCAAGCCTCTCATTCCTTATGGGGTGAGCACATATGAGGTCCATTCAGTGGTCACTGCGAGACCAATGCATCATGCATGTCAATCCTTTGGTTTGTTCTGACTCTTTACTCAGGAGCAACATCGTCAATTGCGAATGGTGATTGGATCGGAACAACACTACTATTGGGGTATCCATTCCATCACCTCTTCCCGAGATCCATCTGTTTACAGACTCATCTCTTCAGGGATGGGGAGCTTATCTTCAAGTTCAGAAGGTATTTGGATGAAAGACGAGTCTACCCTCCATATCAGTGTTCTTGAACTCCTTACAGTACACCTGGCAATGGTTCAAGGTCTGTCTCTCTTAAAGGGAAAAATTTTCATGATAAATTCTGACAATTTCACGGTGATATCTCAGATTTCTCATGAAGGAGTCACACATTCTCAAGACCTTTGTTATCGTACCTTGGATCTTCTCTACTGGGCTTATTCCCATCATGTCAGTCTTTTAGTAAATTTAATTGCAAATCACTTGTCTCGACCCAATTAGATTCTTCTGACAGAATGAATATTATATCCTGAGGTTTTCGGTGGATTTGCTCTCAGTTCGGGTCTCCAACAATTGATGCCTTTGCAACTCATTGGAAATCTCAACTGTAGTTGTTTTGGTCTCCGATATCTCATTCTCAAGCATTGGCAGTAGATGCATTCAATCAGGACTGAACAGGTTTACATCTGTATGCCATTCCCATGATTTGGCTATTGCCCTAGGTTCTAACTATGGTTCATTCCATCCCCTGTCGAGTTCTCTTGGTTGCACCATATTGGCCAGCACAAACATGGTTTCCATTTCTTTAGTAGCTGGAGGAATGTCTACCTCTATCTCTTCCACATTGGCAGTCTTTGTTGAGACAACCTTGATTAGACATTCTCCACCCAGATGTTCAGAAACTCAATCTTCATGCTTGGAAGTTATGCAGTCTTGTGCCCAACATAAAGGTTTAATTTGTACGATTTTCTCTGTATTTAACTAAATCTCTCCATAGTTCAACCAGGGTCCTTTTATCAACGGAAATGGAATACTTATCATCAGTGGTGTATTAAAAGGAATTTAAACCGTTTTCATCCTAAAGTACCTATCATATCCTGTTTTATGACTTGGATATTTGAGAGGGGTCTTGCTTCGTCCAGGGTGGCTTTATATAAGGCATCCTTATCCACTGTTTTTGGTACTCCAAATATTGGAAAGTTTTTGAGACGTCAGTACTATCATGTTTACTCAATTCCTTTCGTATTCTTCGACCCAAACAATCTTTTCAGTTTCTAAATTGGGATTTTACAGTTGCTTTACATGCATTGTCTCATCCTCCCTTTGAGCCCTTAGCTGTTTCACCTTCTCTTAAATTGTATTTTTTTGTTGTTGTTGGTTGGAGTTGTTTGTAATCCAGGTGCATTGGACTCTTTATCATTCCACATTTGTCCTGCATTATCCCGATAGGTCTTTTCTTCCCAAGACTCTGGCAGCCAAGGAAGGGGAAAGATCCTTCTCACCAATCCATTTGCCAGCCATTTCTCACCTTTATGACTGCTCTGATCCTGATCATTTCTTATGTCCTGTTAGGGCCATCAAGTGTTATGTGGCTTGTACTAACTCATTTCGAGGTAGTAGGAATCAATTGTTCATTCATTGGAATCCTTCTATTTCCTGTGATTGATCTCCCATTACCCTAACAAGGTGGCTTCATAAATTGTTCACGTGGCCAGTGATGGATTATTGCTACAGGAGAGGAATCTTTTGCATGTCACATCTCACCAAGTTTGTCATATCTCTGTCATTAGCATCCTGGTTGAATTACCCTCTGGAAGACACTGTACGGGCTGGTATATGGACTAATCCCAATACTTTCCTATCTTATTACTTACATGATATGGCAGTTTCCTCTTCTGACTGCTTTTGACTACCCCTGTAGCTATTTTGACCACATTTGTTTGATTTTAACCAGAGGTGCTTATTTTCCTCAATCATATACTTATTTATTTCCAGGGTCCCTTTAATTGTCACTGGAACCCACTCTGTGGTAAGTGTTGCCCAAGCAGGTATGCTTTGTCTTTTTAATTCTACACTAGCAACTGCTTTCACTATAATTACTACAGATTGCAACAGGCTCTGTTGAAATGGGATGTACCATAAGACCATCTAGGCACCTACCGGATGGTATTACCTTATTATTATGGACTGCCACTCATGGACTATCATGAGTAAAGCTAAAGGGGATCCTGCCTGTCCCTGCTGATCTTCAGGTTGAATAAATTGGGATGGGTTTGCTTTTAAAAATGTAGGGAACTTGGTTCACCTATTAAACAGGATGTTGTGCAGTTCTCCCACTCTTGTACCACCTTTATCTTGGTACACTCCTGTTCTATACAGACACTTTCTGTATGGTTTATGCCTGCACCGGCCCCTCCACCTTCTCAATGTGGGATTTTAGCTATAGTGTCAGTGGAGGTAAATGTTATTGGGAATACATTTTCAGTTTAGGAAAATGTTAACTTTTGTAACTTCATAGTCATATAAATGTTTATAAGACAAATTAGCTTATTTACCTTGTGATTGTTATAACTATTTCTTTGTAGTAAATTTAAGTTTGTGGCTTTTGTTTTCTTAAGAATATGTATTTCTATGTATAAAACAAAATTATTAGAATTCAATGAGTTTTGATAACATTAACATCATGAAAACAGAAAATCAGATTATTTTGTATAATCATGTATAACTTTATATGTTGTAAACTCTTTACCTCTATAAATAATCAGTTATCAGAGTATTCTAGTATGTGAGCACAAAGTGATAACCTAAACATTCACTTTCATGTAGATTAATATTGATTGCATGAAATAAAAATTTTCTTTGCTATATAGCTCATGAATTTCAAGTATTTTTAAGAAGTATATTTTCAGTAAACTTAGTTATCATTGGCAACTTCTATTAAAATAACTAGAAGATATTTTGTAAAACTCAAAAAGTGCTCATGAGAGAGAGAGAGAGATGAAAATTGTCTCTGAAATTTGATGATGAGGAACCCACTTTTTTAAAATTTGGAGATAGCTTGAATGGGTAGTGAAAGAAAATTTTTTACAAATGTACAATGCAACAAACTTATGTCATCATCAGGTACAAGTAGTTTACATAGGCACAGGGATATATGTACAGTATGGAACAAAGAGATCACATGACCGGAGATTGCTTAACGGCTAAGTATGTCGGTACCTCAGGGTGTTGGATTAAAGTAGGGCTGTTTGTTCAGTTAAGATAAGTTCCTTTATTTTATTTTGTTGATGTTTGGTTTTCTGTTTAAAATTTGTGCTTTGTATAGATATACTGTGGTTTTTTTTAGTTCCAGTGGTGGTAAACACAGAGGGATTTTTATTATATTTGACGAACTTGATTTTCCAATTTTTTCTGGTTTCTCTGGTGTAGAATCCTGGACAGTTTTTTTATAAACGATGTTAGTATTGCGAGAATCTACATAATTTTTATATATGTTCATAAACTTAATGTATTTGTGCATGTAATTGATTCACAAAATTTATTACTACTTTGAAGTGTTTGTACCAGGAGTATGGACTGTTGAAGAAGTTTACATAGCTCACACACCAAATTCTGTGAAGTTTACTACCACAGAAATACTTCATTCATCAAATCTTGCTGATGTGTTTTCTGCTCTACTAGGATATACTATATCTGAGGTATGATGTATACATTGAAGACTTTCAGTGTTTATTATAAGTGTGTGTGTGTCTATATGTAGTTAAATACATTGATTCTTTAAGAAGTTACAATGGGAACCTTGTTGTATAGGGAAGAAAAAAAATGAGTTGAAGTCAAGGCATCAAGCAACTTTTTATTAGCTTTTTTCTTTGATAATGAAGAGTTAATTGATACGATTGACTTCCTTAAATATGGAAGAGAGATTTTTTTCCCCTAAGTTTTATCAAAAGAAGAAATTTGAAAAAGCTTAACGAACTTTCTAAGAGCAAAGTTTCCTTTCCTCTTCAGTTTAATCCTAATGTTTTGAGAAAACTTAGTGATGGAATAATAAGCTTTCAGCTTTTCTCTCTCAAAGACATTGATTGGAAGCTTTGTGATGCCTAGTTTAAAAAAGAAGAGGTTGAGGGAGCACATGGTCATATTCACAAATATTGCCTTTGAAACAGCAAAGTTCAAAATGGCTATTTGTCAATTTAGAGCTGTGCAAGTATTGGAATTTGCTAATTGATAAATCATTGGGCTTATTAATTGATTACTTTCAACCAGTCAAGTATTCTTGCCTGAGACTAATCTTTCTATTTTCAGTTTGTATGGGTTTTTTAAATACATTTTTTGAATTTAATTGATAAACGTCTACATGAACATTAATTTAGGATTAAGTTACTTTATCAGTCCTAAACTGTTGTGCATGCGATGTATTACAAAACCAGTAACAAGCTGAAAATATGATTATCGTTGTGTAGGTTTCTCCCTACAAATTTTCACAAAACTACTAAAACTACATAATTTTTGGTGCTGAAAATAAACATTACTTCATCACATTGATTACAAATCATAAAAATAATAAAGGTAACATTCTTCAGTTTATATTTGACACTACCCTTGTACATGTCTTTTAAAAAATTTCAAAACAGTTGGAAAGATTGAGAAAAGAATACAAGATTGTTACAGAAAATGTAGTAGATAATATGTAATGTAATGAAAACAAATTTACTATGATCCTAGAATAATGAAGAGAGTACAACATATACTTTGGCAAGAAAAGTTGTGATGATAGTAGATGACCTTTTTGTAGATTAAAATGATCCATAAGATGGAAATCAAAATTACAAGAAATTAAAATGCCAATAAAATCTTTAATTAGCAACATTTCAGAATAATTTTCTCATCAATGGGAAAAACTGAGGATAATATATATAGTTTGATAGGTATAAAAATATACTTTTTAAGTGAAAAGTTGTTGATGCTGACCAAATATTAGAAAGAACACATCAAAATTATTAATATGTTTATATTTAACAGTATGAACTAGAAGAAGCTCAAGAAGCAAATATGCATGCTACAAAATCAATGAATCAAACAACTGGAAGTGACATGTGATAACCGTCAGACTTATTTTGTTACCCCTTTTTCAGTGCTTCTTTTTTTTATATAGTTGAAGCTATTTAACTAAATAGGAGTGCTTCTTGTGTAAATAGGTTATGAATAACAGTTGTCGTAATTGTTGATGTTTTTTAAAATTGTCTGTGGCAAACAACATGAGAAGCTGGTGCGATAATTGTTTTTAATTGTGCAAGGTGATCTACTGATTTTCTAATTAATCAGTTGCTGAAGATATAGCTAATTATAAAAAAAAAAAGTAGAATACGTAATGTATAAAAGTTTCTCAAAGGGATACACCAGTCACTAAGCTGTTATATAAATTACAAAGCAGAGTGGTCACATGCAAATCTTCATATACCATGCCTGTCATATTAGGCCATTGTAGTTATTACTATTTAAGGAATTTAATCTTATAGGTTATCTAACTAATAGTATAAATCACAGAAATATATTAAACTTATGGTCAGATTTGAAAGGTGGGCTTATAATGGAAATAAACCAAAGGTGACCAGTTCTTAAAATTGAAAAGATAACTTGAGAAAAGTTAGCATAGAATTTGGTGAAAGTCAAAGATAACATATAGTTTTAAGATCTCTATTATATGATAATTGCTGGGATTTGCATTAGAGTATTTGTCTTGGATGAAGAAAATTAATTATATTCTGTATTGACCATGCTAAATATTTTGAATCAAAGACCACACCGTGGAAAACAATAGACTCGGAATAACTTATAGAGTTTAATAAAATGATAATTTTGAAAGATGAAATGCTTAGGTTTGTATTAGGTTATGTAAGGCAGTTATAAAGGAAATTATGCATAATCCTTAGCTATCTTGTTAATTTATAAAATCTATTTTAGTAATATACTTATTGAAGATTGCATGACAAGTGGCAAATCAGTGCTATACACTTTAGTTAAAAATAATTGTACTTACCACAAAATTAAAAGAAAAATTGTTGTCCAACTTCAAAGATGTCCAAAGTTTTTTTATAGTATGACACTTGGGAACACTTGTTGCCCACATTCTTTGGTGATACCCAGAACATGAAATATTTTATTCTCAGGACACACTGGAATAGTTGACACTATACCACTTCATATTATTCACTTGCCCATTAAATGTTGCATGTAGAGCTAAGGTAATCTAGTTTCATATTTCATACATGGGCTAGTACAGTTTGATTATTTATTTTACAGTTAGGCTGTTTATAATTTTTAGATTTTAGTTACTTTTGTGAAAAGTATATAACAGTAAATAAAAAAATATCTATAAAAAAACAAGGATTTCGAATAATTGGTACATATTCAAGCTGTATGCACTCAGCTAAAAATATTTGATGTTCTCTTCTGAGCTTCATTGAGTCTCAAAAATTTGAGTGTTCAAAAAAGAAAGATAATGTAGCTTTGAAAGGTGCATTTTAGAACACAGAAATATATCAGGTACTAATGTAGAATATCCAAAACTACCATAATTTATCCAACTTTCTAAATAAGATTAATAAGTAGGTTAAATTCTGTTAACTGTTCAAGGCAGCAAACCCATGGTCACATGACAAGACATTTTTTAAGGTGAATATTCTCCAAGCCAAATTCAAAAGAATGGTTCTAAGCTTGATGTAGAAGAGAACTTGGTCTTTCTGTTGGATATAAACATGCCCATCAGTCTTGAAATGTTGATTAGCAAACAATCTTGAAAGTCAGTAAGAATGGGGAGGGGCTGCTCTGATGTTTGACAAACTTACTGATGTCTCAAAAAAATATAGAAGATAGGAGATTAAAAAGTTTTGCTCTTGCTTGTAATTATGTATAGTTTTGTTTTCTCAATTTCTTCTTAAAATTAAGAAGTTAAAACTTAGGTGGAGTAAAAATTTAAATTATTATCTTCATTTTCATCCCAAGATTATTGACATACATTGGTAATAAAGTTGTTTAATTGAATTTTGAATCTAACACTGTAAAAGACCATGACATGCTTACTTTAACCTGTTCATACAGAACAAGTTAAGTAACTTGTGTATTGAAAATATGGACATACTGGAATAACATTCAGTAATCAATACTACAATGTATAATTTTCTAAGCATGAAATTATCAATTCAGGTGAATAATGAAGTAGCTATTTTTGTAGATTAGTTAGGCATTTAATATTTAAGTTATGTTGTTTGTTTAAAGCAGTCCAAACTAGCTTAGCTGCAGATTGTGTTGTTAAATGGTGTTTCTGTGGTAGACAAAATACAGATTTAAAATGATGTTTTACAAACCTTTGAATTAAAATCTATAATGAACTTACTATTACAGTCTTATTTCAAAATATATTGCATGGATTTTGCTGCATGAAGTAGGATGACATAATAAAACATTTCAACATAACATTTTACCACTTAGTGAGAATCAGGCTACTTTCGAGGCTAAACTTGGGTATGAGTCTGGTGTTCTACTTCAGTGTTTGTATTCACATGATAATGTTACTTTTTAGTTTTGTATAATTATTGTCGTAGAAACTGGTGAGTATGCGTGAGGTGTTCTACGTCAGTGTTTGTATTCACATGATAATGTTACTTTTTAGTTTGTATAATTATTGTCATAGCAACAGAGATTGCTAAAAAATAAAGAATTAAACTATGTTGGCATCTTAACATAAAGATATTAAATCTTTATTTGGTAAATATTTGTAACAGCTACAGTTCATGTCTGGTTTGCTTAATTATATGAATATTAATATACAGTAAAGATTATACACACTAGTTTTGTAGTGAGTAAGAAGATATGTCTTTTTGAAGTGAACTTAAGCCATGTTTTACTTTTTCAGCCTGTTAAGTGGTCTAGCCTCAGTCCTGTTAACCCTCTACATCTCCCTGAAGCTGTTGTTGTGTTGAAAATTTCTGGGTTTGAGAATACTTTAGATCTGAATCTGAATGGTGTTCACTTCCCTCTGGAAAATGTAAGTTTTAAGGAGTTGGAGTAAAAACTAGGTGCACTTTAATAGATCTGTTTCTTTGAAATGTTTTAAAGTTATTGGTTGATTGCTTTTATTAGAAAAAGGAAAATCACTAATTGGTCTTGTGTCATCTCAACCCATGATCAGGGACAGTGGAGATAACTATCACAATATTTTTGTGAGTGCAGATGTCACTTTGTTTGCCGAGTGGTATTTTTCTACACTTAACAATCATTATAGGATATTAGTACACCTTGTTTTTAACTAACTTTGTATGGTGTTGTAACATGATGTTTACTTACTTCTCTAATACAACCAAATGTTATCAGTATTGTATTTATGGTATTTTTGTTGAATCTTGTTTTGATAGTTCATCACAACAATTTTGTTCTTTGGTGTAAAAAGCTTTACTTTTACAAATAAATATTTTACATGTATGTCTGTCACATTTACAATGTTGAAACATAATATTTCTGTGTATGACTGTAGACAAAATGTCTTTTCTTGTGGACTTAGATAAATATAACTGTTTTTAATGATTCAATTTAAGTCGCAAGAAACTGTGAAGCAATACTAGAAATTGGTTATAGAATCAGAAGGAAAATTTTGTTACTTGTCAACTTCGAAATGGTTTTTGATCCACATAAGAACCAGTTCAACTGTGGTCAAGATTCTGAATGGATCTTGAGATTTGGTACTATGTGAACAGAATAGGTGGTATTACAGTAGTCATGCTCAAAATACATATGGTTAACTAGAAAGTATAAAACATCAACTTAATTATCTTAATTAGTAAAATATTCAAATACAAATCCATATAAAATACTTTGTTCTTTTAGAACACATCATTCCTGCATTAAGAAATGAAACATGGAATGAATTTCACATCAGTTTATCATTGCCTCTCAGTTTTCTTTGCTTACACTTGTGTAAGAGTACTTCTGATTGGCAGTTATTCATTGCCATTAGTAACTGTTTCATTCAGCAAGTTTTAGTGGTCACAAATTGACTTATGTGATGTCTTTATTGTATCTGAACAATTTACAAAAGAATAAGTGATGAATAAACTGCTGTTGACATTTCTAACATAGATCCACACAATGAGAAGTTGTTACTTTCATGTAAGGCATATTCTTTATTTCTTTGGCTTTTGACCCTAGTGTAATACTTGCCATTTAAGATAGTTATTTTCAAGGGTACTACTCTAATAATTCAGTAGTTCAAATCTATTTAACTATTTTGATGATTATTTAAAGTGGTATAACATTGAGTAGAAGATATAAATATGAAAATTCCGTCATAATACAAAGGAAAAAAATGCTTATTTGGCTTTTCCCTTTAGCAGGAGTTGTCATCCTTCACACATGTTGCTCTCCTCCTGTTATCTTTATTCATTGCCAGGTATTCTGTAATTACTTTCTCATTCATGTCTTCTTTAATCCCACAGCCAAAGGAAAAACATTGAAGTAGCTATATTAATAAAAAAGAAAACTACAAAATTGGTAAAAGCATTCATGTATGCACCAGTATAAAACACAAGTTTTACAGCATTGATACTTAAGTAAGGAAGCAGTTGTGAAAGTAGCTCACTTTTTCCTTAATGTTTACATTAAGCTTTCAGTATTTAAAGTGAACAACTTCTTATGTTTCAGCTATTTTTACATGTAAAATTTCAGTTTTAGAGATATATTTAGAAATGGTATTTTAAGACAAAATGATGTGAGCAGCATAGATAGTCCTTGAAAGTGTTGTCCATGAATGATGTTTGGTCAGTTTTGAAAGTTTCACTAAAAGTATTGTATAATAGATTTTTACTAAATATAGCACATTGTATGAAGATCATTTTGTCTAGTAGATAAACATGTCAATTTTATGAAATACACCTATACTTGGTATCATAGATCCATAAAATTAGGAATTATTTTTATAATAGCCAAAATATGTGTTGAAAACTGTTTCTTTTAGGTTGGTGATGTAGATAGCCAGTATGATGTACTTTCATTACGAACTCAAGGCAGATTTTCTCGTAAAACTCCAGTCTTGTTAGAAGCAGACACTGGTGATGAGGTATAAGTTTTTTTGTATGTTTATTTACTAGATAATGATCACATAAGACCTTAGTTTTTCTTTTACTTCGTAAAACCTGTTTGAGATATGACCTGTTTATTTACACTGAATAATACCTTAACACTTGAAATGGTTGTGAAAAAATTTGTGAAGTTACATCACTTTTTTGTATTTATTTAACAATGTTGTAATTTAAAGTTTAGATAAATAGTAAAATATTTACAAAGAATGGCTTATTACACTCTGGAAAAACAATTTTATTCAAACCTGATGTTCTGTTATACATCTTTCTCAAGGGTTACGGCATCATATACAAACTGATTTTTCAAAATAGCACATACAAAAATTAAAAACTACCTTAACAATAGTAATGTCATGTGTTATCACACTAGTTAAAAGGAATTTGAATGACTAAGTGACAGAAAATTGCAAGCTATCTGAAAAACAATTAGAAAAGCCAAGAATTATTTCTGTTTATCTCAGGTTTAGAAGAGTGAATCAGGAGAGACTTTGAATTTACAATCAAGAAAATTATTACATTTTGGTAAAAGCTTAATGTTAAAGGATGTTTTATCTATTGTACCATGTTTTGTTAGAAAGTGTTCAACAGTGGCCTCTTTAGAATTACGATTCACAGTGGCACAGATGTGTGTCTTAAAATATTTATGTACTGGACAACTGGTTTCACTAACACAATTTTTATCACACTGGTACATGTCATTTCATGTATTACATTTTTAACAGTACAAGTCATCCAATCCATTGTTCCTAGCAAGACAAATTTTTGATTTAGAATAATTTTTCTGTAATCCCTGGGTTTTGTACAATACAAATATTTTACCTAGACTTTTTTATAGCTGTGCGTAAATACTTAGTGAGGGATTTTTTGACAAAGAGTGGAGTTTGATGACATTTTTAGTCTGTGAATCTTGATTCTAAAGAGGACACTATCAAGTACTTTCTAATGAAGCATGACAGAGTACATAAACAATCATTTACCATTAAGCTTTTAGCAAAATGTAATAGTTTCCTTGATCATAAATTCAGAGTCTCTCCTAATTCCATCTTATAAACATAAGATAAACAGAAATTATCCTTGGCTTTATTAATTATTGTTATTTTCTATTGTCATTTGAATTCCTTTTAACATGTATGTGATAACACATGACATTGTTATTGTTAAGCTAGTTTTTAATTGTTGTATGTTTTTTTTTCAGTTACCAGTTTGTATGTGATGTTTTAACCCTTGAGAAAGGCATAAGCTGAAATGTTGGGTTTGAATAAAATCACTTTATCTGGAGTGTGATTAGTTGGTTTTTGTAACCATGGTTTCAATCTTTCAGTCTGCTCTGCGAAGATTAAAAACTAAATAGTAAAATCTTGAGGAAGATAAAATAACTTAATAGTAACTCACTTAATTTTTGCAGCTACATTATAGAAACCATAATAAAGTTTTTACATATACATTTGTGGAAATGTTATTATTAATTTCAAGATATACACAGCAGTTCTGTTAGTGTATACTCTCTTAACATTTAGCTTTTTATTTTATACAGACAAAACAAGGATATTTTAATAGTTATTAGTTTGAAAAATAAGAGTGTAACAATTTTTGGCACAGACATTTGGTATTATGATTATAGTAATTTAGGACTGAAAAAAATGTAAATTATGAAAACATTAAAAAATGTTTTCTTCTTGCTCCTGATACTGGGAATGGTTCTATGTGTAGTTTATTTTTTCTTTGAATTTTAGTTATAATGAGACTGTCAGCAAGTAAGTAAATAGATTGAAAAAATCCTTTCTCAAGAAATGTGTACAAGATTTACTGATTTTGAAATACAAATAAGTTTACCAAATGTTACATTAAGTTTCTGTAGTAGAAATAAACTTTGATATATAGAAGTAGTTTTAGATATACATAATGTATGCATTACTTCAAAGGTTTAGCTATAATGCTGAAATCTGACAAAATTATTGCTTAGGTTTTGATTACTTTTGGTATAGCTGTATGCTGCTAGATCTGAGTATCCTGTTATTCTAAAGTCTGTACCGGCAACTTCACAAAAAAGACACCAGATGGCCCTTGCAGATATTGAATTGGGTAGAACAGTGAAAGAGGGAACCTTCAATCACTCCATGCCTGGTGAAACTCTATTTCTGACAGAATTAGCAACTGTGAAAGCTATTTTATCAGCTGTAAGTAGTTAATTCATATTAACTTCTGATCAGAACATGCTATGTACTTAGAATGAAATTAAAATTCAACTTGGTATTGGTAATGACCATAGTTAATTGTATATACTTTTCTTCCTTTCTTATTTACAAAGATTAAAATGCATTGTTGGGTAACCTTGCTATTAACAATATTTTTCATGTAATCTCAATAGTATCTCATGAGGTTCAGCCAGTTTATGAGATTTTGGTAAGTCCTAAATACAGATATTTAGTTAACAATTCAAGAGCCTTCCAATGGCACAGCAGTTCCCTTCTTTCTTTCTTTACTTTTCTATTCATGCTTCTAGGCATTTTGAATCCATGTTCCCCCATTTCTTTCCTAGCTCACTGGCTTTAATTTACTTTCTGTTCTCCCTTCCTAATCTTGAGGTCATTGCTTGTTTTGTCAGTGTCTACCCTAACAGGTATAGCCCTTAGGGGACCGTCTTCTCTATATTATTTCACAAATCAGGCTGAGATTCCATGTCTATTCTCATGTCTGCCTTCCACTTATTACTCCTGGGCATGTTCTTTGACTCCCTACTCTGTCATGCTTGGCCTTTGCCTATGAGCACCAGCAAATCTTTCACCATGGTTTGTGCATCCTTTACATCTGCCAACTAAGTTCTTTTCCTTGGGAACTTTTTTTTCCCTTACACCACTTACTCTTTTGGGCCCTACACAAGTGCTACTTCCAATGGTATTTGCAGGAACCTTGTGTTTCTTTCTCCTCCACTCGATGATTTTTAGTAATGGCTCAACAGCATCAGTACTGTGGCGGACACCCCTTGATGCTCACCCAACAGAAACTCTGTCTCTTCATAGATGCTTTTCTGTCAGGAATGTGTCTCTAACCGCTTTATTGCATGGGAGCTCCTATGGAGTATTCACTCTACATTATCATAATTCTACTTCTCATGATTTGTCAGGTATGTTCCCCCTCTTTCCTTCTTCTGGTTTCTCTTACCTTAGTTCTTTCAGCCTTTTTCCTTTGGCTGTTCGACCATTGATTATCAATCTCCACCATTACTGATTATCAAGTGGATTCGTTGCCCAATATCTGCTGCCTTTCCCTTTACTACCATGCATTTCTTCCCCTATCCTCTCCATGCTGTTTTGGTTTTTCCTTCTTCACCAACACCCTTGTACAATTACCATGCCTTACAGAGAACTTGATGTGGTTTTGCACTAATTCACACATACACTAGTCATGCCATAGCCTTCTTGTTCTTTTTATCAACTTTCTCACATAACCTACTTCCTCCTCTTTCTCCCTGGTGGTCACAATCTTTTGTAGGTCTATGTCATCACTACTTACAATACTCTCTTTTACTATCCTTATTTACTCCTCTACCCAGACAGGTCCTTTCTTGTTTGTCCTTGGATTGGTGGTATCCACCATGGCTAATTGTCAGACAGCTTTGCTGATAATATTGCCTCCCTCTCGTTACCTCCACTTGTTTTCTTCTCATATTTTCTCCGTGTTGTTCCTGTCCTTCATCCTTTGCTGAACCCCTCGTCCAACTCCCATGACTGACTGGGACCTCCATTGGTTTTATACATTCTTACACTTACTCTTTTCGAGTTTTGGCCTCTTGTTCTTTATACCATCTTTCTCCCATGACATGCTTCTATCCCATTCTCACTTGTGGTTTCCATCTTTAGAATTACTATGCCATCAATATTTCCCTTACTGTCTTTCACCAGACTTGTTTACTTCTCCACCATGACCGGACTCTTCTTCCTCATACTTCTGCTGTTTGGATAGGTGATCATTTTTCTCTCCAACGTCCCTTCTATTTACCACCTCTATACTCATTCAGCCACATATTGTCTTCTATGTCCAGTTCGACTGTTCAGTGTTATATGACACAAACATCCCCCTTATCACTTTTTTAATTTTCATCACATCACCTTTTTCAGTTGTCTCACTCTCTTCTGTGTCAGTTTCACCAACCCTTGGATTGGATCTTTCAGACTGACATATGGACGTATCCTTACACTTTCATCTCTTATTATCTTCTTTGTCTAACTGTTTCATCTCCTGTGGTGTTTTGGCTCCCACCAGTCATTACTCTATGCTCCACACCTTCTTTGAGAAGGGTAACTACAATTTCTTTTTCAGATCCCCTTTTTTCTTTACTGGATCTCACCACCTGGCTGGTGTTGCCTCTCAGGATATGCTTATTTCTCCAAATTGGAAATGAGCCAGAATAATGGAAAGTGCTCAAACCATCTTCCATGGCCTTACCAGTGCTCTGTGCGAATTGGGGTGTTCCAAAAGATCACTTGAGGTATCTTTATGGCATACATACTTGTTCAGTTGTCCAATTGAGACATATATATATATATATATATTCATATATAGGATCTAGTAGGATTCTGACCCACTTCCCTAGATCATGTGATACACATACTATTCGAGTTACATTTCACCATTCTATCTCGGAGCTTGTGCTTTAATAATTAATTAATATATTATAGATAACGTCAAATCTAACTCTTCAGTAAAGGTAACTTTCTATTATGGCAAGTAAAATAGATTTTCACTGTGGTTGTTTGAATAAAGATAGTTTATTGTGATTGTACATTTGTGTTCAATCTCTCTTTATTTTTTTACAAATATGTTTAGTCAGTGAATACAGAATTATTTCTCGGTGAATATCTTGGTAAATCTCTTGTTATTCAGGAGACTTACCTTGACACACTTAGGGGAAATTAGTGCTATCTGAGAATACCAACAATGTAAAGCCTAACAAAATCTTCCTGTTTTCAAAACATAATAGTGGATTAAAACTCAAACTTGTTATTTAGTTATTATTTGTGTACCTAATTAACTTAATTTTGTCCATTTTCTTACATTCTTTTACAGCTTAAAGATCACAAGTCACTTGTTAGAGATGGTGTTCCTGACATTATCTGGCTGAAACTTAATGGAATTGGCAAGCTCGTAGGTCATTATGGAACAGATTCCTACCAAGTCAGTGAAGCACTGCGCTTGTTAAGGCAGGTGATTAGTGAGGTAAGTTTTTGAAATAAGAGTACTTCTAATTAAATGACAATAATATGTTTAAAGTCAGCAAGTTTTAGATTAGAACAAGCAGAGCAATCAAACTATAAAACTGACAAAATATATTTTTTCCTTATATCTTGAAATATATATAATAATTATGTATGCTTGATCTTTTACTAGGCTGTTAACATTTTGCGAGATATTTATGATGGTCAAGTTGTTGTCACTGTTGTAACTGTGAGTGATGATCCTACCCCATTATTCCGTGTTAGTCGTCACCTTTTGGAAGAGTCTACAGTAGAGGTAAGAACAAAATGCTTATGCATAGTGATGGATATTTGAAAGTAAAAAATGTAGTCAGTTAACCATTCAAATATTACATCTTAATTTCAGCCATCAAAGAACTATCAGCAAGTATTAAAAACATCTTTACTTCACATTGTAAAATATGAAGTTTTTGTACACTTTTTCTTTATAATTTCAAGTTCACTGTTACATTAAACCTATACTCTAGCTGCAAAATAAAATAAACAAAAAATAAATATATCAAATTACAACTAAAATAAATAATAATAACTAATGATGTTTTTGTTCTTGAACTTGTTGTATAATTGATAATACTCATTCTCATACACCCTGATTTTAATCTCATTAACCTCTGGGTGAACAATTCACCCACTTGAGAAGCACTGCTCTGTTCTATCAGCTCAAAATTAGGGACAGCTAGTGCATATAGTCCTTGTGTAGCTTTAGGTAAATATCCAAGACAAACAAAAGTCTCTCTCACAAGTTTCATCTTTCATTGTTGTTTTTTTTTTTTTATCCATTATATGACCTATAACAAGGAAAGTGTTAAAATATAGAGTGGGCACAGGTGTTTTTTTTAAAGTGTTAATGGAGAGAGAAAGAGAGATCTTTAGATCCCGTATCAAAGATGATATCCTTCATGGTTTTGTGACCAATTAGACATTTTCTTAATTTAAAACATTAGATAAAACAGAAATTATTATTACTCATGTTTTTCCTAAGAGAGAAAAAACACTGCATTTAGAGCTAAAGTTGTATTGTCCATGAATTATGTCGATCTGTTTCTTCAGCTTTTGGAGCAGACTATTTTCTATTTTTTTCACATATATATATGTTAATGTATGGTGAGAAATGCTTCACATCAAACAGTGTGGCATTTCTGTGTCCATACATTTAATTGATTATCACCTAAAAGAGTTCCTTGAATTTTGTGTTTTGTACCCAGCATATACAATAATTGAAGATATCAATACAGATGTTCCTAAGACCTTAACCTGAAACTGCTTCTTCAAAAGCATCTCTGACTACAGGGCATTCTTGCAAATTTGAAGGTCTTAGTAAAGCCCATTAAGTTGCATGAGAAGCCTTTTGATTAAATGGAGTGCTGAAGTTGTTGGCAAATCAGAATGGTTACTGGCACTCATAATGTAAAAAGTTATTTATCCTTGTCCAAATGTTATAATGTTTTTCCATTTTTACATCACTTGTAAATACTTCCAATGTATAAGCTACATACCTATAGCAGTGTGGTGTAGTACTCATTCTCAAGCATTTATCCAAGTCACCCTATCACAACAGAAAATATTTTTGATGGTAGGTACCAACCAAGTAATCTGAAATGTAATTTACAGTGCAATGAAATTTGTAAGAGCTAGTACTACTCTTTCTTTCTTTCTTAACTATGGAGACATGAAGGGGCTCTCTTGATAAGGAAACTAATCTTCAAATGTATCTGTATTGTGAAAACGTTTCTGCTAATAAAATTTGTAGGCTGTTGCTTGTGGAAGAAGTCGTGTACATAGGACTTTTCATATTCTTTCTTATGGTAAGGCAGTATTTTAGCTTTTGCTGTAGTAACAGGAATCAAAAGAATCATAATACAATTGATATTGTGTTTGGCAGGATGTTTTCTTGAAGTGCCTCCTTAACAAGACATTGGAAATAGTTTAATACTCTGCTTTATTGTATCAGAAACTAAATAATTTCACTGATCAAAGGCTGATACAGGATACTCAGTTTTACTAAAACTGATAACAGTGACTGCTTAATTTCAATTCCAAATAAAACAGCATTTCTTTAATTCTTTTTATACAATTATATTGCATATAGGCATCATACTGCCATCATATCTAAACTATTTATCATTAACTTCTGATTAAAAGTAAACTAACTCTGTAGATCGGAACTAAAAAAATGATTTATAAATTACTGAAGCCAAAAGTACTTAACATCATAAGTCAATACAGAAGAAAAGTAAAACCTATAATAATTAGAATGCATTGATTCATCGGGTCTTGTACCCTTGCTATTAGCCATATTTATAAATTACTGAAGCCAAAAGTACTTAACATCATAAGTCAATACAGAAGAAAAGTAAAACCTATAATAATTAGAATGCATTGATTCATCGGGTCTTGTACCCTTGCTATTAGCCATATTTACTCTGTAAAACCAATTTTCTAGGGCTAAGATGATGACAAAAAATATCTAGATCTAGTTGTTTATTGGTTAAAGTTAAATAATTCTATAAAGTAATTACTTCTGGTAGTTACTTAAATTTTCTCCTGTTACTATTAATTTCCAATCAGAACAAGCTACCTACTGTGATCAAAACTAACAATCAACCTGGTATGAGTTTGTTATTTGCCAAAGGAATCCACAGAAATATTTGAATTTTGACAGTATTCATGAGGTGCCACATGACAGAATTTTATTAGTCTGCCAATCTTACTTGTTTAAGTAATTTCTCAGAAGTGAGGCAAACAAAACCTAAGTAATAAATTTTTTTATTACATTATAACTTATTAAGTAATTTTTTTACAAACACTAACATTCAAGTAAAGTATTTCACTCTTGCTTGGCATATGTCTTACATAGTAGTTTAACAATTGATAATAGAGGGGCACTTTTAACAATAAAAAATAACACAATTACTAAAACATTCATGAATTATTCTTAATATGATTAAAGCATGTTAACCAGCATTTCTAACATTGCAAAGATTTCTCAAACTTATAACTCATCTCAGAATTCTTGGAATAATAAGAAAGTATTATAAGGATATGTTGATGTAATATTTCATTAAGCAATTTAGAAGAGATTGTTTTGTCATAACAGTGTAATATTCGTTTATGTGATTTTTTTTCTTAGCACTTTAGTTGTGTATTTATTGTTGTAATTGTTGCAATTTAGAAGAACATTTCTATTTGTATTGTGATTTTTTTTTATAGTACTTGAGTAGTGTTTGTTCTAATGTTTCCTGTAACAGTTTAGTAGTGCTTGTTGTGAATAGTTCTGTAATGGTTTAGGAATACTTGTTGTTGTGATTTATTCAGCATAACAATTTAGAACTGCTTGTTGTTGCCAGTTCTTTAAATCGTATTATATTTTACTGATGAATCTTATAACATTAAATTTGTTTTCTTACTTTTCTCTAGGAAACAAATTCCACAGATAAATTAAATTTGGCCTATCAGTATGACCCTGAATTTTCTGTTGTTTTCATCATCATCCTGTTTGTTGTGATACTGTTCACACTCTCTGTACTGGGAATTAGTGTATTCATGTGGAACATGGACCCTGGAAGAGACTCCATAATCTACCGTATGACTAGTCAACGCATGAAAAAAGACTAGTAAAACCATCTTTTCAGGTGTAATTACATGGAATAACCTGTGTGTGAATTATGAAAAATGTCTGAGTTCCATCATTTGTTTTTTCAAACAGCTAGAGATTAGGTATTTTAATTAAATTTGCCATTATGGAATACATATTTATTAATTATCAAGTTTAAATTAGGAAAGATGTGGTAAATATCCTTTTGTGATTTTGGATACCAGTCTCAGTACTTGTTAGTTCTTAACTTTATTCTTGATTAAACCCACTTCAGGTGGTTCTGATATGAGATGGTTTTTATAGCCACATAGATATATAATGAGAGTGATCTCAGATTACATTGTGGCTAATTCAAAGGTCGTGGATAGTGTTAAAACCAAAGTACACCATATTAATATACATACTGATGTAGATAGAGTATTGGGGTTTACAATAATTTTTTCCACAGTAGGTGTTTTTCTTTGCTTCATTGTCTTTATGCAACACTGTGTGATGGAAGATTCCTGTTTAACTGTTCTTATTGTAAATTTTTCAATTCTCACATAAGAAGTGTACTTCTGAAAATGAAAAAACTGTCACTACAGTACAGAAAGTCTTGCTTTTAATAAATATCTTAAGTTAATTATAAGATCAATTTATCAATATAGAACTAGTTAAGTAATGTTGTTCTACCAAACAAATGCACAGCAAAAAATTATGCTATTTATTTTGTAAAACAACCTGCACGAAACTATTTCTAACTTTGTTGCTTTAATTAATTAAAAATAGTTTTAAATATCAGAGTTGTGATTTATAGCAACTAAGCATACTTTATTATGAACTCCAACATTACAGAACCTCTAAGTATTTCATTTTTTGTTTAATATCCATCATTTAAACTTCTTTTTGAAATATAGTCAACACCTTGTCTATGAGAAGTTTTAACAGTATTTAATAATTGTGACTTGTCTGAGAAAAGATTCAGCAACCTCTCAAAAAGTGTTTTCAGTGAACTAAACCTTATTTATTGTAAGTTGTTATAAAGATCATTCCAATAATTACATTTTTTTAAATCTGGGGCTAATTGAAGTAATAATTTGAGAAGTTTATGAATAAACTGTGCCATGTGTTTGTTGGTATATATTAAAAACTTCTTTATGTATTTATGTACATGTTGCTAAGTGTATGTAGAAAGAAGATAATTCAATAAAAGTGTAACCAGTCATTTTTTTTATGAGATTCATTTTCAGCTTTTTCTCCTCACTTCTTAAACAGTCTTTGTTTTAAAACTAAAGCAGTGTGATAAATTATAAAACTGTACTTTCAGTTTTATTCCACGTTAAATTTATATACTGAAAACTTTTGGCTACATTATTCGCTATGAATAAATTTCAACTTGGAGTAAAACCTGTTCATTGTCTATTTTTTAATGTGTGTCACCCACGTTGAATCTTGGTTCTCACGGTCCGGGAAGAGCATGGGAATACATAATTGGGCTCTCCCGGACGTGGAAAGGCCCTTAAATTTCAGTGTTTTAAGATCAGCAGAAGTTATAAAATAAAAACCGTAACAACTGCCAGTAAATATGAAGCGGTGTTTCATACGTTTATAGCCATTTCACTTGCTTTCGTCGAATCTTTATTGGCTAAGGTTGAATTGGTAAGAAAGTAAGTAGAAAATTGAGTCGTTTTGGGTAAAGAATACATGTATAGTTAGTTCGGTATTATGTTTCCATGTTGGTCAGATTCAACATTTTCGTCATCTCCGACTCGAGTGGATTAGTCGGTGTTTGTGAAATTTTACCTCTTAATATTCAGTTCTTATTTTAGCTAAATATTTGTTCTTTTTTTTTACGCCATTTTATTGTGATTTATATAAGATGCTTTTGTAAATATATTATTTTGCTATTTGAAAAACAAGTAAAAACAAAAAGGATATATATGTATATATATAGCGCAGCGAACCCTTTTTGGAGTCCGTTGGATAAATTTCCAGCGACAGTTTTCTTCAACCTGTAACTACCAATGATACTGTCCACTCCTAGTCTAGGTCTTCAACTTGTTAATATAGACCGTATCAGCGACATTAGCTGATAATTTAATAATGTCTGGTATGTTCGAACTTTTGACCGGTGGCTAACCTTCCATTCTGACCGTTACTTGACTTTGTACTTTATAGAGCTATAGGAAAACGGCAATTATCTATATTTCATTAAGTTAACCAACATAGTCACTGATAACAAAGTGAATCGATTTTCATCAAAATCAATAAAAAACAACAGTAGTTTAAAAAAAAAGGACTTTAAAGGGGGGGGGGAGTTTAGTGGGTGACACTAAACCCTCGGTTCCTGACCCCTTTAAAGGTTAAAGTAAATAGCTTGTTTTATTTATTCTTTAAAAGAGCATGCATCGTAGTACCTTTAAAACATAACTTATAATGGTCTCACGAATCAAACCAGCTGAGGAAGTAACCATTTCAACATAAGGTTTTATGTTTTAGAAGTTAACTGTATAGATTTATTTACTTAACATGAAAACATTATATATATTCTGAACCCAGAAGAAAGAACCGGACAATTCGTTGTTTTGTAATTACTGTTTTTACCGCTAGATGGTGCCTGAAATGAATGTGTAGTGTCGTGTAGATTAACGATAAGTTTGGTATTAAGTTTAAGGATAAAATGTGGTATTGACGGCTGGTGGGTGACCCAAAAACTGGGGAACCACATTGATATAGCACTTCGAAGATTTCTCAAAACCATGTTTTATAGAAAACACTCGTGAAAACTGTTGTAAAGCTTGCTGTTACCAATATAATAAACACCAAATATTAATACTAATAACTATTATTACTGTTCTCGGTGTATTTTTTAGTTTACAGTATTTTTCAAATGATTATAATTAAGTGATTGTCAACTGCTCATTAATGTATGGGCACAACTTTCACAGTTGCATCTCATTATTGTAAATCTTACAAACGCCACTGCGCGCATTAAATACGGCGATAAAAAACAGCAAACAACAAAGCATACATTTTTTCCCTTTCAAAAGAGAAGTCTTTTTACAGTGTATGGCTGTTTTTCACACCACACGTCCTTACTGGATTAGAACGCCAAAAATTGTGTTTTGACAACAGCAACAACGTTACTGGAGAAATGACCACTCGTGAACAAGGAAAGGACTGTTTCATGAGTCCCCCAGTGGGATAGCGATAAGTCTATGGATTTACAACGCTAAAATCAGGAGTTCGATTCCCTTCGGTGGACACAGCAGATAGCCGGATGTGGCTTTGCTATAAATAAACACACACTGTTGTTTGGAGGACTGATGGAGATGGTCTCCGTTCCGCAATTACCTTTGGAGATGGGATTCGGAATCTATTAGAAACTAAACTTATTTAACAAATAGTTTCAATCTCCTTTATGTAATGATTTCAAACTGCGATATTGAATAAGCGAGACAATTATTATTTTAAAAAACGTGAACTTCTTTGCCTTTATCTTGTAAAATTATCACATAGGTCATCTTCCTCTGACGAGTCGCCATTGTACGTATGGATACAAGTTTTCATATTGGATAAAATTCAGAGTTATAGCAACAGTAAGTTAGGGTCTTGATGGCTCTCGTATCTATCAACACTTCTTACTTGACACTACAGGTTGAGAGCTGTTTTACAGCTCAGTCAAAATGTTTTTAATAAAAGGGATTTTTTCACAATGTTAAATATGCAATATCCACAGTTCTTCATTCTATAATCGGAAAATTGTCAAAATATCTTCGTACCATGAAGATAAAATGTTGCAATGAATTGAAACTCAAGGTTATGCGTAGCCTAGTGCCAGTCTGCAGAGCAGAGTTCCAAAACTTAACGTAACATTAAAAGACAACAAGAGACCTAGCCACTAAATTATACTCAACGCTAGAAAACCCAAAGCCAGTCCTTATCATTCAAATATTTATGAAGCCTTCTCTTAAAATAATTGCATCTACCACATCTGTTGACAATCCATTCCAAAGTCCAACCATACTGCCTGAAAAATAAAGCTGTATAAATTGAATAAGTCTCCTACCACACCAAAATGTTTACTTGTTTCCCCTAGTCTTTCCATTTTGACCGTTAGATACGAAAAAAAAAGATGATGCATCAACACTATCAATTGCCTTAACAGTCTTAAACACCCGAATCAGATCCCCTCTAACTCTTCTTTTTTTTCCCAAGAGAAAACAAGTACAAATATTTTAACTTATCTTCATATTAAAATCTTCCCATCCCAGGTACCAACCTAGTAGCTCGCCTCTGAATTTTTTCCAACATTTCAATGTCCTTTCTAAGGTACTGAACACAGTACTCCAAATATGACTTAACCAATGACGTATACAATGACATTATGACCTCTTTAGATTTGTATTTATTATTTCTATAGATACAACCTAAAATCCTATTTGCCCTGCCAATAGCAACAGCACATTGTTTGGATGACTTAAAAGACTGGCGAACTAGAACACCAAGATAATATTTTTCATTTCTTAACACTGTTAAGGTGATTTTCATAAAAATTTTGATATCCCACATGCATTATTGTGTTTATTATAATTAAAAGTCATTTGTTATTTATTTGCACAGTTCACGAAATAATCCAAATCCTTTTGTAAAGCAGTAGCATCCTCCTCATAACCAGCAACACCAAAAAATTTAATGTCGTCAGCAAATTTAAATAATCTATTAATCATTCCTCCATCTTTGCCATTTATCTAAATCAAAAAGAGCAAAAGTCCTAACAGCGAACCCTGAAGTACCCCACTCGTGACATTAATCCAACTTACCCGAACTCCATTTATAAAAGCTATTTTCTTTCTTCAACTCAGCCAGTTTTCTATTTAATGAGCCAACCTATCCCCCACACCGAGAGAAATAACTTTTTGACAAGCCAACTACAATCTTATGACACCTGCCCACTATTCAATGACTTAGAAAAAATAGTAGCAAGTGGCTCTCATATTCGTACCTTAACTTCTTTCAACTTCCTGGGTAAATATTATTTGTCTCTGGAGTTTTATTATTCTTTAAACTTCTCAATTTTTTTAACAAGCGCAGAATTAATGTTATCGCTTTGTCCAGACTTGTTTACATCTAGAAACTATTCAGGATGATAAATATTGCTTAAACCTGAAGAAAAGTAGAACTTAATAACTCAAAATAATTCCTTAGTCATCAGATATTAGACTTCTTGTATCATCCTTCAAAGACCCTACTTCCATCCTAATATTTTGCTTACCCCTAATGTATTTGACGAAATTCTTACTATTAAGTTTTACATTCTTAGCCTACTTTTTGTATATTTTTTGATATCCTACTTTTTCGTTTGACCAACTCTCTTGATTCTCTATAATCTTCCATATCTTCCATCATTGTAGTGAATTTAAACTTTTTATATTTATAATGCTTTCCTTTAATATTATTTATATTCTTTTTGAGCAATCTGTTTTTATACCTGAGTATCTATATACCGTTGCAGTGGCTTAGCCAGCACTAGTATGTGTGTGTGTGTGTGTGTGTGTGAAGGGGGTGGGTCCTTTTCCAAAAATTGTTGGCCTTTTCTTCTGTACAAAGAACGTAAGTGTTTTGCATGAAAGTTAAGAGGTTATTAAAAAGATAATAAGAAGACAGTAAACCTTTTATATTTTTCAGGATATGCGGATGGCTTTGCAAACTCGTATCCCTCTGCATTGTACGATCTGTCTTTTCAGTTTGGGGGACATTATAACTGTGATAGTCAATCCATCTATTCTGTTATGAGTAGCTACATATTAGACTAGACGATCGTTTTTCCTCCCTTTCATGAGCAGTCATAACTTAGGGTTGGTAAGACTGAACCCTAGAAGTCTCTGACCTGTCGCGTAAGGCGCCGTTCAGGTTCAAAATACCATACCAAATTGAAATGCTTGTTCTTTTAAAATATGGTCAGTAAAGGATGTTTCAGTGAATCAGAATGGATTTCTATTTAATATATAAAGAAAGATGTAAATATTACAGGACGTCGACACTGAGATATTGTATAGTATACAATGAAGACTAAAAACTGCCATATTAATGTATATTAAACTTAAGAATATAAAAGATAATCGACATTGATTCCTCAGAACAGTCAATGAACGAACATTAGATGAATATTAAGGAATTTTATGTTTAAAAAATGCAATTAAAATTTTGTTATGTATTCTAAAACATTTGCAGAATTTTTTT